CATCTATGATGCCGATCTTACTTGCTTGTGTGATACTTTTTAAATCGCGTACAGAAGTAAAGTAGCCAGTATTGTAAATTCTTAATGTCTATCGAAAGCCCTCGAATCACGAGATCAGATGGCTAGTAACACAGCTAAAGAAATATGAACAGCAAGACAAATATCTGGTATAAAACGTATGCTAGTTTTTGAGCCCAGTAATAATTAAAAATACAGTAAAAAGACTGGAAAAATCGCTTCGGAGTGCCTGCTATCAATCTGCTGAGGAATCTTAGTAGTTCTCCCGCGCATATTCGATTTGAATAAAAAAAGACGAAAAATTTCTGTATAAACAGTATTACGTAATGCACTTTCTTGCAAATTCTCTTTATCAATCTGGAGCTGCAATTCAGGCATCTGTGACTTTCGTTCCGTCCTACAAAGATGTGGGATTCAGTAACGCTGTTGTTTCCCACTGTGTTAATCGTCCTAACTGTAAGAACGACCTGAACCTTCTCACGAAGTAGTTGAATAAGTAATTGTACCGTGGGTAGCCGTTCCACGAAAGCGCTAACCCCCGCATCTGGTTTTAAGCTGCTCATGCAAGCACCCACGTGTGGGTCAGAATGTTTAATTCATCACGGCAAAATTATCAATCTCACTCGCGTAACCATGCAGCATCTTTTGGTATAGAGGACTTGCTGACAGTCATATAGAACTTTAAGAACATGCGTCCGAAAAATGCGGAAAATATTTCTAATTTTTGATTCACGGTCTAACATGGAGCGCTTTGGCCATGGCCGGAGATAATCTTTAATTTTCTTCACAGTACGGACAGGAACCGCTGGTTTATTGCTCCCAGTGGTGATCGATAGTGGAGAAAAATTTCATTAATTTAATTCGTGCTAGGTCGTATTTACCTTCTAGCCTCTCAAGCTGTTGTACAAATACAACATTTTAAACATTCGGTTTAGGGATGTTAATATCGAAGTGTTACCATTTTTATTAGGAGATTGTGATTATACATTTAACTTATCTGAGAAAGAAATATAGTAGTACGATTACTTTTTGTGATTGTTTGTCGCAAACTAATTAGAAAAGGGGAGGGGTTTAGTGTGCTGAAACTTTTAAGGGAGCGAAGGATAGAAAGTGGTAACAGGAATAAATAACTATGAAGCATGGAAGTCTTTAGGGAACGTGAACTTAGATTATCTATCAGACTAATAATTTCGTATATGACGTAAGATATGAACTTTGTTTATACTACAACTACCAAACCAAATAAACTGATGTGATGATGGAAGAGATAATTTTGAGTCTTAGTATCCTTTAATTATATAATTTATTTGTTAGTTTAAGGGGCTATGAGGTCGAAGTCATATAGCAATCTAATTACTTGGATTGAACGTTAAGAAGTTAAACCTGTTAGCATGATATTACTGGTAGATGGCTCGAAAGACGATACCACAAATCAACATACACCGAGGTAGGGACTCAGTAACCGCATACTCAGAGATTGGTCGACATTGTACAATTACATCTAGCCATTTACCTCAATAAATAAATAAATAAATAAATCTTAAGACTCAAATTCTTATCTCTTCCACAATCACGCAGTATAACAATATTCATACTACGTCAAACGTATAGTTCTAAGATAATAAGATCACGATTCCCTAAAGACTTCCATCGTCCATATTATATCCTTTACCCATCTTCCCCTTCCCTAAAATTTCACACACTAACCCCTCCCCCCTTAATTATCACAAACAACTCCAAAAAATCTCCTCTACATTTTCTTTCCCAGGCTAATTAAATGTATAATCAAATCCCTAATAAAAGGTAACATATGCGGATATACATCCCTAAACGTTAATGTGTAAAATGTTGTATTGTGTACACAGCTTAAAGGCAGAAATACCGACCAGGCAGAATTTAAAAATGGAATCTTGCTCCACATCGCACCACTGGAGATAACACGTTCCCTGTCCGTATGGAAAAATTAAAATATCTCCGCATGTCCAAACGCTCCTGTAACCGTATCAAAAATTAAAATATTTTCCGCATGTTTCGACGCATTTCTAAATTCTATGACTGTCTTAGCAAGTCCTCTATACCAAAATCTGCAGTTACGGCGAGTTCTGTGAACATATTTGCCGATGAAATTGTAAACATCTGACCCACACGTGCTTCATGGAGGTAGTAAAACCATGGGGGGTTACGTTTCGTGAACCACGCCACGGCTTACATGTCAACTGTTCAGAGAAGTGTTCAGCGTTCACAGTTTATGGACGAGATCACAGGTGGGAAAGCAACACACTAATCCACACTTAGGACGGAACGGAAGAGTCACAATCCTGATTCAGCTTCTCCAGATTGAAGAGAATTTCAAGAATTGTATTAGTAATACTTGTTAACAAAATGGTTTTCGTTTTTTCAACAATGCGGCGGAAGCACTAGATTTCTCAGCAAGAAGAGGCAATCCGAAGCGAGTTTTCAGTCTTTTACGATTTTAATATTCTGCTCAAAACTAGGATTACGTATACGGAAATTGTATGCTGTTCTATTTTTTATGCTGTTACTAAGGCCACTGCGCGATTTCGAGCTTTCATACCAAAAGTACAAAGTTTTATTTATCTCGTACGCGATTAAAAAGTGACACAGAAGAAAGTAAACGGAGACATTAGCGTGAAAACAACTTTATCTCTATCCAAATTAAAACTAAAAATCAAAGTAAGTTAATTTATTTTTGAAATGCAAAATAAACTAAGGTATCTTAATTTAACTTGCAAAAATAGTAACATTAGAAAATAACGTAAGAAAAAAATGACCGCATATTTTGTTAATTACTTTTATAGCAAGGTGACCATGCCCCACCAAAGTGAACTCTAATTCGAAGAAAACTTCTTGTTGCCGAGTAATGCCTGACCTGAAAATAAAATGTTACGTAGAAAGTGCACTTGTACAAGAAATTGGAACTATTTCTAATTGCATGTGAAACTGCAGCTATATTAAGTTTTTACTAGAATATTAATATAACATTTCATAAAAGATGAGACCGTTTTGTTAAAACTTTTTACCATTGACATTCGTAAACAATGTACAAATTAAGTGCATCAAGTCCTGTCGATACTCTCATTGGTTCCCTTTGCGCGGCTATTTTGTTTGCGGGAGAAATTGTTACATCAAGTGGACCCATCGCATATACGTCGATAAACGCGATATGCAAGGTATATTTAGTTTAAAATAATTCGGTTAGTAATTTTTAATGTCTGGCCTGTATCTTAGTGCTTTAGAAGGAAACAAAATCATCTTAGAGAGGACATTACTTCACTTTAATTTGTCATGAAACTTTGGAAAAGGCTGATCGAAATGAAGATATTAGAAGAACGGTTAACTTTATATTTAGAATGTTTTTAATCGTTTAAATGAATTACTTTTTTTAAATCTATGAATTTAAAAGAAAACTTGTCTGTTTACATTTTAGATGTCAGGCTGAAAATTCAAACGATCCGAAATTAGAGTCGAGTTGAGTGCATTAAACTCTAGGATTTCAACAAATTAATTACTTTAACAAGAAATCATCACCTTCTACCCATAACCCCTTTTCCAACTCGCAACCCATGTCTGGGAACACTTATTTGTTTTGGCAATTTGACAACCACAAATGTTCTGTTTATGTCTTTTTCCCCATTCAAAAGGCGGGCAAGTATGCGGCACGCCCGAATCTTTTGCCCCTGCAGGGTGGGGCAGTAACATGAGCGGGAAACAAATATTCTGTAAGTGGATTCTGTAAAGTATGCGTAAGAAAAAAACTACTTTTTAAGATGTATCGAAAGTTATGACGTGTATCGATTTATTACCAGCAACGTAATAATTGTTTAATGAAATTAGGCGCAGAGGAATCAAAATGATAAATTATCGCCAAACTCATTTATAATTTTTTAATATTACAGAATCTGTGCATTATAGAAAATGTTAATAAAATTAATACAAAATATTAATAAAATACACACGGTAAATTAATTTATTGAAAATTATTTATGAAAATTATCGAATTTTTCTTAAAAAGACAAACTGGCTTTGGAGTGAATGCTCAAAAAGACTACCATTAGCTAAGAAGCATTTACTTTTCAATGGAGTATATGCAACACGAAGAATAATAAAGCCAGAATAAGAGCTTTCTCTTTCTTCTACTAAAATTAGCCTCATTCTTCCAGTCGGAAATCTGACGTCACACGGCTGGGGGTCGGAAAAGTGAAAGGGCGTCGAAGGCATTTTACGTGTTGTCAAAACAAGAGGAGTTGTATGTAGCCCCATCCTACATTTTTCCTTGTGCTTAATTGTTAGATTTAAAACATTCCAACCGAACCGTCACTCGCGACCGGTTGCTCTGATCGATAGTTTTTCGTGGTTTCTTCGACTAATACCAGGCAAATACCGGAGCAGCACCCTAAACGCGGGTGATCTTTCCTTCCCCTTCCTTGTTGTATCTTCACCCTTATTTACACACACGTGCATGCACTACACTACCCCACATGCCGCAGACCGGTCTGGAGTTTAGTTGTCCCGGCTAGGGGCGGTGCCCCGCTAGTGGGTGATACCTGGTTAGGGAAAATCACCAGTCAACGGTGGGTCGGCGCCGGTTATCACCATCCAGCGGGGGGAGATCACCGCACTGCCCGCATTACATTTACGGGACTAACGACTTTAGTGGTCGTCGCGCACGGAACCATCAAATCAAAACACCGAGCAGCCACGCGCAACAGATGGGGCACTCACCGCCTCCGACAAAGAGAGAGGATTAATTAGCCTCTCATTTTGGATGTACATGGTTGAGATTTGCTTCTGGGCACCTGCTGGCTTCTGGTGGTCTCATATAAGTGCGATGTTTTAATTGTGCACCTG